TTTTGGTTGTTCTAGGTTTGTGTTTCTGTTTATAACACAGGATCTCACTGTGTAGTTCTAGCCTAGAACTAGCTATATGGACTAGGCTAGCCTTGAACTCAAAGATATGCCTGCCTCTGCTACCCAACTCATGTGATTAAAGAAATGTGCCATCCGTACTGGCTTTGTGGGAGCCTAGGCAGTTTGGATGCTCACCTTACTAGACCTGGATGGAGGTGGGTGGTCCTTGGACTTCCCACAGGGCAGGGAACCCTGATTGCTCTTTGGGCTGACGAGGGAGGGGGAGGGAAATGGGAGGCGGTGGTAGGGAGGAGGCAGAAATCTTTAATAAATAAATAAATAGATAGATAGATAAATAAATAGATAGATAAATAACAAAAAAATCAAAGTGGGAAAAAAAAAAAGAAATGTGCCATCATGCCTGGCTAAGTAACTACACTAGTACTTGAAATGACCTGGGAAACAATGGGGACAAACTTTTCTTACCAATTACTATTATCCACTGCATCTCCAAATCCTGGAGTATCAACTATCGTCAACAGCAACTGAACACCACCTTCTTTGATTAAAACTTTGGATTGTTCCACCTGTAAGAGTCATTGGTGTACTTGTTAATTATATATTATGTCAGTTGTTTCCTATAACAAGAGGCAAGGACATTCAAGTTTCTCAAAACCAATTTGGAAGCTGTTTACAAATTAAATCTAACCACCTACAAGTTTTCTGTCTGTCTCTGTGTGTGTGCATATGCAAATGTGCATGGTGTGTGCATATATGTACCCATGTGTGCAGGTGCAGATGTAACTATATGTGCATGGCTGTAGAAGCCCACAGTTGATGTGGGAGTCCTTCATCAATTATTCTTTATCTTAAGCACTGAGGCATGGCCTCTCAATTGAACCCAGAAAACTCTGGCATCACTAGTCTGGCTAATCACTTTGCTCTGGGTTTGTCTCTGCCACACTCACTAGGTCTTGACAACAGTTTTGGATGCAGATCACAACACCAGTCCTCACACTAGGACTGAAAGCACTTTTAACCACTAAGCCATCTTTCCAGCCCCTATATTTTCCTGAAAATGATTGTGGCCATTAGAGTCTAGTTACTTCAAAGAAAAACACATGTAAATAGTATGGCAAACTCATACTTCAAATGTCTTCAGAAGTTTGCCTTAAACAACAGCTTTAGTTCCTGACAGAACCTACAGGTTTTTTTCTGGAAGCCCGTTGTATGTCCAAAGGTATATATTATCTGTCCAAAGCATATGCTGTTGTGATAACTACAAACTATCAACTTTCAGGCATCTAAGAGAAATCAATCACTGTTTCTAGGAGCAGAAATACTTTCCCCAGGGGCTGTAGATGTATTGATAATCTAACTTAAATAAGACAAGATTTGTACTCAAACTTTGAATGTCAAATGTCAAAAATAACATGAACACTATCAGATGTGAGGGGGAAATGTGATCAAGGAAATATGAAAAGCAATTTCAGCAATTGTGTTAAGAAAGTCTGATATACTTCTAAGGACTATGTAAATGAGGATACCTTTCCACTCCCATCTGGCATTTTAACAGACGTTTGCTGGTCAATAAGGAGTCTGTGAAGCTGAGGCTAGGATGTTTGGGCAAGAGTCATTTGAACCATGTTCAAAAATAGCACTTCTGAAGTGACAAAATTGACCTTCAACTCTACCATCCAGTACAGCAATTGCTGTACAGTTATGTGGTTACTTACCTCGTGGAATGTTGATGCGTGCAATCAAGGAATTGAATATTTAGTTTTATTTCATGTGAATAAACTTAAATTGCTCACATGAAGCTGCCAAACTGAACATTTTATGTTTACTGAAATCAAGAGTTTTTTTTGATAAAAGTAGCTTATTATCAGAAGCTACTGAAATTGGGGGAAAGAAAGCCAGTAATTCAGACATGCACGTCTATGAAAGGCATGCTTCCTATCTCTCAGAGAACTCTCAAATCAATATTCTTCAAACTGTTTTGATCTTAGCTTATGTTATCGGTGAAAATTGAGTATCCCAAAAATAAGCATATTTATCTACGGGCAATCTGAATATTTAAAAGTATTAATTAAATATTACTAAGTATGAAGTCTATATAGATTAAAAGCTAAATACCAATAAACAAAGTTTTAACTATTAATCAATGTTAGATTATCAAGAAGTTCACACTTTAATTTTCTTATGGTTCTTTAGTCAAAGGATAAGCTGATCAAATCTCTATCACAAAATATCTTGAATTCATTCCTAGTTCTTTCATAAGAGTTATTCATTAATGAAATATGTTAATTAAAAGAAATTAACAGAGCCTAGAGAAATGGATGGCTCAGCAGTTAAGAGTACTTGTTGCCAAAGAACCAAATTTGGTTACTATCAGTCACATCGAAGCTTGCAACTAACTCCAGTTCCAAGAGACCTGACAACCTCTTCTAAACCTCTGAAGTCACCGTGTACATGGTGTACATACACTTCACATACATATATTAAAATAAATGTACTCCAAACAATTTCTGGCTTTCTTATTAATAAGTCCTATTACTCTTTCAGTAATAGCATATATTAATAACATATCCTAATTCGCTTGTATTTTAAGACTTTTTGTATTAAGATTAGGCACAGAGTCTGTAAGTAAAGTGACAAAGTGATTATTTAGCATTTTCAAGGCCTCAGTACCATTTTCAAAAAAAGTTCAATTTGTTGAAAAATGAAGCTTTTAGGTACTTTGATGAATCTGTTTATAAAGATATTTTCTGTTTCTGGCCTATGAAATTTGGTGTATCAATAAATGATCAAATACAAATAAGTCAGCAACAAATGGAAAAGATTAAAAAAAATCTAATGCCATTCATAGTATCCAATTTTATCATATCATCTGGTTCTGTAAGTATCCTCACGGGATCCATGAAAAACAAACTAATACAAGCCCAGGAATTTCAAAGTTTTCAAAAAATCTGTTCCAAATGGTCACTTTCCCATGCACTCTTCTTAAGCAGGTCACATCAGCACATTCTAAAGCATCTCAAGAGTTGTCTAAGATTAAATGTATAACTTAATGCCAATGGAATGAAGTGATACAAAGAAATGAAGCAAGGGCATTTTCTGCTTCTCTAGAAACTACGTAAAACTAGATCTCATATTGTTTATGTGTGTTGTTGATTTATTGAGGCATGTTTTGATTCTCTTCATCCAACAAATCAAAGATACCACTATTTTAAAATTGTAGTTTTTCAATCTAGGAGCAAGTCAAGCCTTCAATGTTTATTATTCGGTTTTAAAACTTAAAGGACTACAAGTACATTAAACTTTTTAATCTCATGTTCACAAGGTATTTAGTAACATAAATAAATGTGTTATTTAATTAACTGAAAACCATATTGAAGAAAAGGTTAAAAATTTCTGTCAAGGATTTACACCTTTACTCATACTTCCTTAAGAAGTAGCAGCAAGGCCAAAGCTCTGAACAGACAGCCTGATGCATTTACTTGGCTTAAAGACAGGGAATATTCCATTTAATAATACCTCAAATGTTTCTTTAGAAAACATAAAGTGAAAAAGATCTGGGTGTGACAGCATAACATTGTAATGTGAGCACCCAGGCTACAGGAAGTAAACTACAGGCTAGCATAGGGATCCTGGGACTACTCATTTTTAAGTATCTGCTCTTGCCCTTTTCTGCACAGCTATCGTCCCTCTTCACTGTTACGGCCTGTTGCCATCACACCACTTCACCAATTCTGGAAGGCACAGCAGCATCGTGTGATTTCATATTTTCTATGTTTTCCCACTAGAGATCCTTGAGAATGCTGTGCCCTTCATTACTGTACAGACAAACCTAGTATGCAAAGCAGTAAAATGTTCATGCAAACAACTGGCTCAAAAACCAAAATAGGAGTATTATCTACAGGAACATTTAATCATGCTTTATGAAAACTTTTCAAGAAGTCCACAAATCTGAAGAGTTTTATTTAAGAGTACAACTTATTGCTTTCAATTTTTCTCACCTCCAGAAACTGTAGAGCTACTTCACCTGTATCACTATAAAATGACGTCTAAAGTGATATACGAAACTTCACACCAAGTAAACATTCTACAGTATATCAACATAAATTTGCCAATCAATAAATTAAAATTGAAATTAACTAAATCTCAAATAAAAGATAGTTTCCCCACCAAGGAAAGATAGTTCACAATCTTACAGTGACAAAAAGATACCATTTTTAAAAAACAATAAAAATATGAAATAAAATGTAATAACTATATACATATACTATGATATAGTTTGTTAAAATTTGTCAGTATTGGGATCTATATTTGAAATAAGAACAAGAAGAGCACAACTATGTATTCTTCCCTTTTCTTTAATTTTAATAATCTACTGGGGAAAAAACATCAACCAAGAGAAGTAATTAGGCACTACTGCATTCACTCTGTAATGTCCTTAAAAGCACTAAGGAGAAACATTTCCCTCTCTGACCTTCTCCCTGAAATAAACTGAAAGCAGTTTACAACAGTCCAGGAGTATGTAAATACTCAACTTTGTGACTACAACAACTTGAGAATTTAAAAGAAATGCAAATTATTTGGGTTTTGCCTCATCTGATATACACTCACACTGAGAACAATAGTACAGAGAAAGCCAGGACTAGAGTCTGCTCACATCTGGAAATGCTCCATAGAGGTCCTCAAGCAAACACAGGAGATTAAGAATTAATCTCAGAGTTCAAGTGAGACCTTCAATGAGGAACAGAGATCTCAGAATCGGCTCTCTATTAGTTTAAATACTTAGTAATCTTCCAAGACCATAAATGTCAACAAATCTCTCCCTCAAAACACAATTTCCTATAAATATAACATTCAGGAAGGCTACTGGCACTGTGGTATTATTTATTAGGGTTTTACTCTTTGGTCACATCATAGGAGAGGATTTTTCTTCTTTCATTTTCTGACAACTGGAAATGTTCTAAAAATCCTTCAGATCACAAAACCACAGATATCTGTCTTTCAAAACTCCAGAGAGTATGCCTATTTTGGTCTGTATTTAGAAAATGGGATACAATAATAGTAGATCAAACCCTCTACTGAGACAAGTCATTACATCAAGGACAGATCATCTGCTAGACTGCCCGGCTGAGGCTGCAAAGGATGATCACATTCTAACTACATCCAGGCCTCTTGTCTCTGTCTTTACACTTACATATACAACAGGATATTTACATGAATAAAAAACAGAAACCTAAATGTTTATCCAAAACAAAAAGGACATGCTGTGATATATTTCTACAAAAACTGTAACTATCTAGTCTTCAACCTCATCAAAGATCTGAGAAGGAACGTAGTACTACCTAAGCTAAGTAGGAAGTGCAAGCAAGTGATTTCCGAAAAATGCAAGAAATGCAAGGAACAGCTGGCTGCCTGGACAGTCACCCAACGTTTCTCTGTAATGTTGGGGCATCCAACTTTGGTTACAGGCCTAGAATATCTGACAAGACCATTTTTAGAAGCAGGAAAGTTTGAAAGACTGTCCTACCCTGTCTTGGCAATGTTCAACAATTGCTTTTCCTTGTATCCTGCTTGTCTGGACTGGACAGCATGCTGTCAGCAGTCAAGGCAAGGGCAGTTTTCTCCCCATTAGGCCTGTTTTGCCAAGAAGAAAACAAGCTCCAGATGGAGGGTTTTCAGTGCCCACCATTCTCTCAGGAGTAAAGCGGTGCTGCCAGGAACAGTTGAGCCTCATATCAACAGAATTCTAAGTTATTAAAACATTTAAATGCCATAGTCTATAGGTCTTTGAAGCATCTAAGGATTACCTAGCTTTAAGGAATACATCTTTGTGCATCTAGAAAAACTAACATAACGTAAGTATGACAAACATGAGTAACTATTAACTTATAATTCTTAATAACCTATATAGCTTAAAGAATAAAGCTTCATATTATAAAAAGAAGCAGTCTTTAAAAAGATGTACAACATAAGAACAGTGACCTCAAAATTGTGACAATATATAAAAGTATCTTAATCAGAGATAGGAATGTATAATGCAATGACAAAAATATCCTTAATTTGCATCAAAATGCAAAATATCCTAAACAGAAGTAGAAACTTACATACAGTATGACAAAAACTTTACATTTGTATTAATATATAAAAATATTTTAGACAGAAGTAGGAACATTATATTCAATATGACAAATAAAATTTTGAATTTATATCAATATTCAAATTATCTTGGACAGGAATAGAAAAATAATTTTATATTGTATCAATATACAAGAATCCATACCAATGCAAATTATCTAAAACTGATAGCTGCTATTTTAGTTTACAAGTAGATACAATAATCTACCTCATTATCCTATCTATCTATCCCCCATTTTTTTATTCCCACATTGGGTGCCAGGTGAAGTGAAAATTCACAAAAGTCTAGCTTGTAATTTATTAAGGGGTACAACGGAAAAACAGACTCATGAATACAGAACAAGGTATAAGCTGCTACTGATCCAGCTGCTGTTGTCATGACATTTTTCTCAAGGGTGATGCGGACTAACCACAAGGTTTGCCCCTGCTCTGACCACCCAAGAAAGAGCATGCTACCCCCTCCTCAGTTTTATCTGGTCATGCATTCAGAGCAAACCAGACCCATAGGGTTAGTCACCCCAAATGTCACTGGCTAAAAGGGTTGAGCTCCCACAATACTATCCAGTAATGAGAAAGAACAAGTACAACAAGCATGAACAAGTGAGAAAAATAATTCTCGGTGAAAGAAATCAGCTTCAAGAATAAACCTACATGAAGTTCAAGAACATCCAAACTAATCAATCTAGAGAGGTGAGGTGCTTATCTTTGGGGAAGGAATGATTTTCAGAACAAAACTAAATAAAAAGGACAAAGGAAAAAATATCACGTAAGTACTACAGAAAATCAGTGACAGCTATGTCTTATGAATCCTACTTAAAAGATGCTTCTAAAATTTGTAGAATAACAAAATAACCATAACTATAATATCTCAATGAATGTTTTGTCAAATATATTTCTGTCTTAAATCCCCAAATTACATGTTAATATTTTTATCTATTAAAACACCCAGTAACTTTTGCTAGTGTAGTCCTCATTTCTAGGGGTGGGGAGAAAACCATCAGTAAAGTATTTGCCACCGGAGCAAAAGGACCTGAATTTGATTCTCCAAAATCCATGTAAAAAGCCACTCAGGTGCAGCAGTGTGTATTTGCAATGCCAATGCTGAACAGTGGAGACAGGAATACCTACGGGTCACTGGATAGACAACATAGCCAAGCAAACTTCCAGCCAGTGGAAGACATGTCTCGACCACCTTAGACTGCCATTTAGCAAAATAAATCCGAAGTGCTAACTTGTAAAACTGATAGTGCATCGTTATTCATAAAGTAGGAGGAAAAGAAAAGCTAATCCATTTTTTAAAAGAACTGATTAGTCTATTCAACTAATAGTCATTAAGCACCTACAGCATGTGTGTTTGTGTGTGTGTGTATACAAACAGTTCAGATTTGAAACTTGTCTGTTTCATTTATTGCATGATCTCAGGGCAAAGCACAGTCTGTCTCAAAAATCATTACTCATGTAGATTTGGAGTTAGCTATCTACAAGTCAGAACAACAATGAGAACTCAAAAAATTACCTAACCAAGAATAGTTTTTCTAAGTCCATGACAATATCTAGCAGATTATTTTATACCAAATACATCTGAACTTAGACGCTATAAATTTCCAAGTTTTCTGATGTTTAATATTAAGATCTACATTTTGAAGATAAGTTTTTCTTCTTTAAGATTAAAATCTTCAATATTAACCACAAAATAAGCCATGTAGGCTCACATTCTTAGGAGCATTTTTCTGTAGATAATTTAGAAGTTACATTTTATTCCCTCTCTAAGCTAAATGAGAAATATTCTCTTCACAAAAACACTCCTTCATCAAATGCACCAGGCAGTATGGTATGCATGTTTCTGCCCTTCCATCTTGTACAGTGGTATAAATCACTACTTGAAATCAGCTCTAAACCCACGTGCCACAGTTTGCCATATCTTACTTTGTCAGCCCACCAATAAGCTTTGAACCAGAAGTTGGAGCAGTGCTACCAAAGTAAAGTATATGGTGATCGCATAAGCAGATTTAAATTTTTCAGTAGCCACTTTAAATATAGTTGATATAAAAACAATGAAAGAGCAGGATGGTGGTAGTGCACGCCTTTAATCCAAGCAGTGGGAGTAAATGCAAAGGCAGGTGGATCTCTGAGTTAGAGGACAGCCCAGGACTACCCAGAGAAACTGTTTCAAACAAACAAAACAAAATAAAACAACAAGCAAACAGACAAAAACCAATGAGAAGTTAGATTCTTTTTTCTGTATGTTAAGTGTTGAAAATCATGAAGTACATTTTACACTTGTAGAATATCTCAATTTGGAATACACTTATTACAAAAGCTCAGGAGCAACAGGTAGTTACAAGCTATTGTTTTGCAAAGTACAGATTTAAAGTCTAGAGCAGTGGTTCCCAACCTGTGGTTACAACTCCTTTTGGAGTCATGTATCAGCTATCCTGCACTTCAGATATTTACATTAGGATACAGAACAGTAGGAAAATTACAGTTATAAAATAGCAACAAAATAATTTTATGTTTGGGGCTCACAACACGAGAAGCTATATTAAAGGGTCATAGCATTAGGAAGGTTGAGAACTACTGCTCTAGAGTCTAGACCTTGTTTATAAAATGTGTTCCATCAACCAGCAGCATCCACACTACTTGGGATCCAGTTAGAAATGCAGAAGTCCAGTCTGACCTCACACATACAAGACCGGGAACTATATTTAGTAAGATCTCAGCTCATCAGCATGTATCATAAGACTAAGAGGTGAAAATTGGACCATATATAGTTTGGCAGTCTTACATAACTACCACTGCCATTTAGTTATCATATGATATTAACTCACGCCAACAGGGAAAATGTTTTATATATGGCTGTCCAAAAAAAGAACCAGTTAGCACATGGAGCTACAGAGCACTTGAGATGTTTATGATGTAACTGAGAAATTGCATTCTAAATTTTATTTAATTTATTGTTTTGACCTTAGTCATATGTGCGAAGAGTGTATCATAATGGACAACATAACTCCAGAGTTACTCCTATATCACAATGAAATTTCTAGGAGGGTTAACAGATCACTTATGACAGGTTCTAGTCAGGATAATACCTCTGATCATATATATATGTTTTTGTTTTAGTTTAATCAAGTCGTGTTTAACACTTTCCACTAAAAGTCAAATACGAATCTACTTCTAGACACCAAATAAAATGAATGTGTTGTGTGCTAACATGACTGTTACTAATTAACAACAATAACATACATACCTGTACAGTCTTTTTTATTCTATGAGAAGGCCCTGGATACTCTGGAGAATATAAATCTGTGAGGAACAATGAGTTGATTAATGTTGACTTTCCTAGTCCAGATTCACCTAAAAGAAAAAGAAGAAAAACCTGTCAAACTCAGCCAAATTATACAACAAATACAATAATGCTAGTGTTTCACTAGTTAGTGACATTCAAATATACTATAAAAACTCCACATTAGGGCTGGAAAGATGGTTCAACCATTAAAGAATAAACTCACCATCAAAAATATCAAGACTTTATGTAAGAAAAAAACTTTTTTTTCCTCTTTATTCATTATTCTCTTATACATCTACTCCTCCCAGTTCTGCGCACCACCTCTCCTGTCCAGATCCACTGCTCTTACATTTATTTGCCTTCAGAAAAGAGCAGGCCTCAGAAAAATTAATGTTTGTCCTCAGTTTCACACTAAGCCTGGGCTAGGGTAATCTCCCTAATGGGACCTGGAATCACCTAGAAGACAAACTTCCAGTATACTTAGATTAGGTTAGCCTCTGGGCATGTCTGTGAAGGATTATTTGATTTGAATAACAGATGTAAAGAACCTTAAAGGAATATAAAAGCAAGCTAGGTGAGAGGAAGCAATCAACTTTCTCTGTTTCCTGCCTGGCTGCAGTGACCAGCTGCCTGAAGCTTCTCACACCAGGCCTTCCCTGCTCCAATGGACTGTGACCCCAAATAAACACTTCTTATTGTTGATCTGTCAGGTTTGTTTTTTCCTTGCTTTTTCAAGGCAGGGTTTCTCTGTAGCTTTGGAGCCTGTCCTGGATAGAACTTGTAGACGAGGCTGGTCTCAAAGATCCGCTTGCCTCTGCCTACTAAGTGCTGGGATTAAAGGCGTGCACCACCACTGCCTGACTCTGTCAGGGAATATACCACAGCCACAGGAAGAGACATTGACCAAATAAATTCCACATTGTCAAAGGGTTTTAAAATGTTTAATAATTTACACCCATCTTTTTAAAAAAGTAACAAATAGTATTATAACTGATACTTTAACAAAAATGTGTTTTAGTGACCGAAGAGAGTCACATTAAGGAAAAAAAAATAGTTTACATATCACTGCTTCGTGAAAAAGTAAAAGTACTAATCTTTAGTATAGACAATAGTGAATGACTAAAGACATTAAAAAATGGAAATCTGGGACTAGAAAGATACCTTAGTAGTGGTTAAAGCACATACTGCTCTTGCAAAGGAACCAAATAGGTACCCTATACCCATGTCAGGTAGCCTACAACTGTCTATAACTCCAGTTCAAGGGGATCCAATGCCTCTAGCCTCAAGGGTACTTGCACATCCATGCACATGCCCAACAAAGAAGAGAAAAGGCTAGGGCATGATTTCTCCTGTGGTATCTTTAATTTTTTATGCTTAGTTTATAGTACCAACCATACCAGTTTTTCCAAAACATACATAGCTTTAAGGTACACATTATACAAGGTTAAATATGTTATAAAATATAATGATGGTTGATGTAACAGTTCATGTATTTATCTTTATTAATTAATGCACAATAACAGGCATGCTTTGAAATAAGAACATTTAAATATTCAGGCTGGGTTCTGTTTATAATAGCTCACAAAAGAGGTAAGATTCTTAGAGCTATAAAAAATCCAGAAAACAAATAGAATGGTACAAGTTCTTCATTGATATTTACATTTGAATTTTCTAGACTCAAATGGATAAAGTACTGTAAAATTGCATGGGAGCTATAAAGAGTTACTTTAGAACTAAGAACACAAACAGGCTGGAAAGACACTCCATGCAAAAGAGGTAGAGTAGTCATGCTAGTATCACACAAAATACACAAGTCAAAACTGTTAGTACAGTCAAAAAAAACCTTGTATGTTTAAAAAGTATCAATTCACAAACACTTATAAATATGCAGATACCAAACAGCAAAATTTCAAAGCATGTAAACTGTTAAAGGTGAATAGTTCTATAATTATAGCTGGACACTTAAGTCATAAACAAAACTGTAAGAAGGAACCAAACTGAAGTCATTTTGGATAGAACTTCCATTTTAAATAAGGGTCAAATAAAGTTTAAGTTCCCAAGACCTCCCAGACCTCCCTAGATAACTGACATCTTGGCTGACAAGGTGAGACATGAATTGTGGGCAAGACATTTAAGTAAACCAACCAATGAGAACAAGGTAAGTAAACCATATAGGGAAATGTTCACAGGACAGTCCCTAATCCCTGAATCCTGATTGGTAGAAAATGTGTAACTTGGCACAGAAGTTTGTGGTTTTCAGGTTTAAAAACTCTAACATTCTGGCTTTGGGTCACAGTTCAGCTCCTGAGTCTATTCTGCAGCCCTGATCAATCAGTAGCAACTTGATTACAGTAAGTTTTTGTCATCTGCATTGACTTGGTGTGTGAGTTGTGTTGGCTCCAAACAGATCCCATAACAAACAACTAGATGGGCAATAAAATAAGGAAACAATAAGATCTGCGCTATATTGTAACCAAAGTAGACCTAACAATATAAACAAGACACTGAACCCAGGTGACTAATAGGCATTTTGCTCATGTGTAAAGTAAACATTTTCTAGGAATGACTAAAAGTCTTCATATGCCTTTAAAAATAATAAAGTAAGTTCTTTTGGTGCCTCCTAGATGTCTGGCTGTGTGGAGATGAAGCCACCTGCTGTGAGAAACTGTAACTTCTGAGGAGCACATGGCCACACAAGTGGCTGCTGATGCTCTGCGTGAAGAGTGGAAGGATTGTGTTGGTCTGAGTCAGTGGTGGGTACAAGAAACAAGGTTTATTCATGAACCAAGTGTGCTGATCCATGGCAGAGTGCTCCTGCAGTTGAGTAAGGGACAATCTCGTTATAGGTCATGAAGAACTGGAGAGAGGAAACACAAGTCTGTTTGCGGATTTTAATCTAAGTATTTTCAACTTGGTTATTTAAAAAAAAAAAAAAAGATATAGCTGGCCTAACAGATACTTCTGTGCGTCATTCGTTGAGAACTAAATAAAAGCTGGCAGAATCCAAAAGCTTTTCAATCTCTCTGTTCCCATACACTAATAAAAACTATACAGAAAATAAATCAAAGGGAGTATGGAGAAGAAACCCATTGACAATAGCCACCTAAAAATACGAGTAATAACCCAAGCAGTGGCAGCATACACCTTTAATCCCAGTACTCAGGCACTAAGCAGGAAGAGGCAGGCAGATCTTAGAGTCTGAGGCCAGCCTGGTCTACACAGTGAGTTATCAAATAAGAGAAATGGAAGACAACACAAATAAAAAAAGAAGACTATGTTTACAAACTGAAACAAAAATCAACATTGATAAATATCCATATTATTCAAAAGATAAGAATTCCAACAACATTTTTGACCGATGCAAAAAAATGTTCAAATTCCCAGGGAACCACAAAAACACTCTTGAATATCAAGGCTGAGACATAGTCCAGCTTAAGTGCCCTGTTGCTTTTACAGAGGACCCAGTACCCCTATGATGATTCATAGCCATTCATAACTCCAATTTGTCCAATGGATCTAAAACCTTCTTCTAGCCTGTATGGACACCAGGCACAGACATGGTACATATACACATACACACACAAATCTAAAGAGAAAAAGATTCTGAGTATGAAAGAGTAATAAAGTAAGGCATTAGACTCCCAATTTCAAAATATATTACAGAGCTATTGTAATGAGAACAGCAATTGTACTGATATAAAACAGACTAAATAACTAGAAGAGAAAGCTCAGAAACATGCTTCTGGTTTTCAAGACTGAGCATGAATGGGAAACACTCACACAATGGAGAAGCCAACAGCTTTCTTCCATGAACAGTGTTAATAATACTGAATATTCAAAAGCAAAATTTTAAGATTACAAAAATCAACTCAAATGAATTAAACATTTAAACATAAGACCTGAAACTGTATAATCCTAATGAAGAACCATAGGAAAAAGCTCAATGAAATAAATCTCAGCAATTACTGGCTTCTCAGGTTAGGGTGACCCCAGAAAGCATGGACAATCAACAGGGGATGGAGGAGAGGGATAAAAAGGACTACAGAATTACAGCAAACTAAAATCTTTCTACATAGCATAGTGCATGTTCAGGGGTTTGGTGGGGCTCAAAATAGGACAAAATATCTGGAAACAATGTATAATGGGTTACTGTGCAGAATAGGTGCAGGACTCTTACCACTCAACAACAAACTAATTTAAAATAGACCAAGAGACAACAGACATTTATTTCTCAAAGAACATACAAGCCAGGCAGACACTTGTACTCACAGCAACGGGGAAGCACAAGCAAGATAAATTTAAGTTCAAGGCCAGCTTGAACTACAGAGTTCTAGGCTACCCTCGGTTACATAGTGGAGCCCTATCTTAAAGCAAGAGACTTACAAAAGGCCACACATATGAAAAGTGCTTGGTGTGATTGCTAACCTTAGTTTTCAATTTGTCCTGGATTTGGATTCAATGAAGAAATAAAGCACGCACTCACATACAAATGACCTTCTTGATCAGGTTATTTAAAGTTGGAAGACACACTCTAATTGTGGATGGTCCTTTCCTGTGGCAGCCAAGAGAAAATGCTTTGTTTGAGGCCTCAGTATCTTCATATTATATTGGTGAGTTTGTTTATCCTGTTGGAAAGATCATCTACCCTACTGCTGCTCCAGCTGTTGCTACTTCTACATTTCATTACTGATAACAGAACTCAACTTCTTTGGGGCTTTCAACATAGCCTGAAGAGTAACTAGTAGTTTTCCAGTAATCCTCCAGACCTTCAGCATTTCAGTCTCATAAACAGAGCAGGTGACTGGCTTAGAGAGCTACTGGTGGAGAACCCTGATCAACACATTCAGTCTCACTAACCAGCAGGGAATCACAAATTAAAAGCACATCAGACCATACCTGCTGCAACGCATTTAACTGAAAAGCATAAGAAATAACAAGTGCTGGCCAGGAATTGGAAGAAGGAAACTCTTCTGCACTGCTAGGAGTATAAACTGGTATTGGCATTATAGAAGACAGTTTGAAATAAAAAAAAATAATAACAGTTAAAAATAAGGAATTGGAGAAATGG